TTCTGTTTACTTTTTTAAATGCAACTCCCAGAAAATCTAAGATTACATTGGTGACTTGCATTGTATTTTGAACAGACAGCTCTGATTTAAGAAATACTGTAAAAGAGCACAAGAAGTGTTCATTTGTGAACGAAGATATTTAGAAATAGGCAGATCATGATGCTACTTGGGGGATAAGAGGAAAGTGTGTGCAAGTTTGAAAGAGAAGCAGCACAGAGGAAAACCACCACAGATCACCTTGGAGAGTACTGACATTTTTTTTTTTTTTTTTTGAGACGGAGTTTCGCTCTTGTTACCCAGGCTGGAGTGCAATGGCACAATCTCGGCTCACCGCAACCTCCGCCTCCTGGGTTCAGGCAATTCTCCTGCCTCAGCCTCCCGAGTAGCTGGGATTACAGGCACGCGCCACCATGCCCAGCTAATTTTTGTATTTTTAGTAGAGACGGGGTTTCACCATGTTGACCAGGATGGTCTCGATCTCTTGACCTCGTGATCCACCCGCCTCGGCCTCCCAAAGTGCTGGGATTACAGGCATGAGCCACCGCGCCCGGCCTTAAACATCTGAATAACACTTAGCATTTCAGTTCAACAACACAAGATGCGTTTCCACTTACTTAGGTCTTCTTTCATTTTCAATAATGAAAGACAGTTAACAACCCCACCTTAGCCCTCATTTCCTGCTTGTTTTGAGACTGTTACGTAAATGATATCCCACATATGCAACCTTTGGAAACTGGCATTCTTCACTCAGCTTGAAATGCTGTTGCCCACCAGGTTGATGCATGTATGAGTAATTTGTTCATTTTTCTTGGTGAGTAGTATTCCATTTTAAGGAGGTACCAACAGTTTGCTTAACCATTAACCACTGAAGGACATGAGGGTTCTTTCTGGTTTGAGGCTACTATGAATATTTACAGACAGATTTTTGTGTCAACATAACTGTTCATTACTCCGACATAAATGCCCAAGTTTGCAATCACGAGGTCACATGGTAAGTGCGGTTTTAGTTCTAAAAGAAACTTCTGGTCAACCTTCTACAGTGTACTGTGTCATTCCACATTCCCACCAGCAGTGCACCCAGGTTTTCCACATCCTTGCCAGGATTTCATATTCCCACTGTTTTTTTTTATTTTACCCATTCTAATAGGTATGCAGTGGTAGCTTATTGTGGTTTTAATTCACATTCACTATTAATCATAGCTGATGACACTGAACACCTTTTCACATGCTACATGTCACATATCAAATGTCACCGCCTCACCTCTGTGCATATACGGGAAAATCTTATATCACTGTCACTGAGAGGACTTCCTTCCGCTACTTAGAGAATCAGAGCTACCCTAACGGTTGCTCCTCATTTTAATGATCACTTTAAATCTTACTGTACATTTTGAGCAGTTTTCCTAACTTTTATTTGTGTGATAGTGGATATAACTAGCTATTCAACTTTGTTATTGTAAAATGGTTCAGTGGAAAAATACAGCTTCGGAGTGTACTGTGTCAAAAAGTACCATGACATTGCAAGGTGACTGTTCACAGAAGGGACACCACTTCCCTTCAGCTGCTTATTGGGATTAGGACTGGCCTCTCCTGAATATGGACACCCATACTGTGGAAATGGGTATGAAACTGATTCAGATGCAGCCTCCTCCATCACTCCGAAGATCAATGAGTGTCTTCATTAGAACAGTGGTATTCTTCCCATGGATGAAAAAGTGGATCCTATACATATGAATTTATGCTACACATGTAAAGGAGTTCAAAAACTTCTATTTTAAAGCACTGTTTTATATGTTGGGAGTCCAAGGTTCTTTTATTTGATAACATGGCTCTATCAGAACACTGTCATTTAGGATTGCAATAGACTCCTTAACTGATTTCTTTACCTCCAATTTTTTTTTTTTTTTTTTTTTACTAGACTTTAAAAAAGGAAGCAGGATTAGGTTCACAGAAAAACTAAGCAGAAAGTACAGAGTTCCCAAGTACTCCTTTCCCCGTAACAGCCACCCCAACAATCCATGTCCCCCACGTGGGAAGTAGAAAAGCTCCTTTTTAAAGTTAAAGAATAAGTGTGCTAATAACGTTGTTAAGCCCCATCCTATGTAGCTGTTAGACACGCCATGCTTACAGGCACACAGTACATTCCATGTCCTTGTACTTTAACCAAGATATCTGTGCTGGATGTGCTCACAGTCATGCCCCAGCTCACCGTTGCTTTTACCTGTTTAGAAAGGTTTTAAGTTATTAGCCAATCAGGCTTTAGTTTAAGTTGTGAGGTCTGGCTCCAGCCAACAGAGATCAGACACACAGTAAGGACGACCCCAAATGCGTAAGGAATAAATTTGTGTGTTTTCCTTTGTTCGTTGTACTCTCATGGCACGATGGCCAGTGAGGGCACCCTTCCTGCTGGCCAGGAAGTAAAAATTATGTAGCTGAAATACCCTTTGTCTCAGTTCTCAGTGCTCAGTGGCACCGAGCATCTCCTTCCAACACCCGACCAGAGTGGTCCACTTGTTACAATCAATGAACCTACACTGACACATCGTTATCACCCAAAGTCCAGGGACTGGTTACATTAGCGTTCATTCTTAGTATCGTACATTCTATGGGTTTGGACAAATATGTCCGACATTACAGAATCATATAAAATAGTCTCGCTGTCCTAAAAATCCTCCCTCTGCCCACAACTCCTGGCAACCACTGACCCTTCGATCGTTTACACAGTTTTGCCTTTCCAGATGTCATATAGTTGAAATCAGAGTATGCAGCCTGTTCAGATTGGTTTCTTTTGCTTAGTAAATATGCATTCGAGTTTCCTCCACGTCTCTTCACGGCTTGGTGGCTCCTTTCTTTGTAGCACTGAATAATACTCCATCACATGAATGTGACATGGTTTATCCATTCTACCAAAGGACACCTTGGTTGCTTCCAAATTTTGGCAATTATGAATAAAGCTGCAATAAACACCTGTATGCAGGTTTCCATGTGGACATTAAGTTTTAATTCATTTGGGTGAAGGCCAAGAAGAGCAATGTCTGGATCGTACAGTACCAGCATGTCTAACTCTGTGTGAGACCACCCAGCTGTCTTCCAAAGGGACAGTGACACTGTGCATTCCCCAGCAATGAGTGAGAGTTCCTGCTGTCCCACACCCTCGCTGCATTTACGGTGCCAGTGCTTCCGATTTTTGCCATCCTTATAGGTATATAACTGTCTACATTCAGTTTCGCTCTTATAAGATCTTTCATACCACTGCTAAACATAAATCTGATACTGCCACTCCCCGATTTTCAGATACTATAACTTTTTCGCTCATGCACTGGAAGTGACTTTTGCCACTCTATGTGACTGTCCACCCCCGGCTCCTACATTCACTCTGACCAGCCATCATACCACGACACACCAGAAACTGGGAAAGAGAAGTGATTTTGGTCTCACAAACCATTTTTAGTGCTATGCCAGATTTCTTCCTAGTACTTTATGCTCATTGCCAATTAATTCAGAAATGCATTCGCTTTCAGGTACTTCCCTGAGTAGTATGTGTGAATTGTCTAAGAATTTACATTATTTAATTTCTATAAAAATCTTTTAAAAACAATTTATATAAGCACTTTCCTTTCTGGCAGTAAACTCATGTGCAGACGATCCCCTCCTGGAACTGAGCATTTAAAAGACTCTGTGAATGACTTAAACACAATTTTACAGTGAGACACAACGAGGGAAGCAATTAGAGAAAGGAAGAAGGTTCCAGTGAGAACGCCTGCATGGTGTGCAGGGCTCTGCTGGTCTCCGCGGACCAGGACCTGGGCCTCCACGGGCCCCACACATGCAAGGAGCAGAAGCAAAAGTGAAATAAGGGACGAACATATGGCATGGTCCATTCAAAGGTTCAGGGAAAGATCCACGACGCTCAATGAAGAAAACCACAGAAACTTCAACAGGAGATTTCATCAGATTGCCATGTTCCACATTCAATTTTAAAGAAAGCCAACGCAATGAACGGAGTTCTTATAAATCACACATAAATACCTGCGATTAATTCCCTTAAAATGCCCCATTGTAAATTCATTCACCAGGTATCTCTCCATTTCGATTTTTACTTAAAACCTTTATAAATAGATTTGATATTCCTTTATATGTACTCATCCTTAGCAGTAGCTGTCGTCTTTAAAAACTTGCAAAGGATTACTTGTTAACTGTGAAATCTATCATGAGTAAAATGTTGGAGGATAAAATACCATGAAAAATTAAATTATCTTACAACAATTCAATGAGACAAATATAAGTAAAATTGAAGACAAATTTGTATCTTTCTATTTAGTAGACAAACTGCCTTCCTTTAAGATAACATTAAATCGGCCGGGAACAGTGGCTCAAGCCTGTAATCCCAGCACTTTGGGAGACCGAGGCGGGTGGATCACGAGGTCAAGAGATCGAGACCATCCTGGTCAACATGGTGAAACCCCATCTCTACTAAAAATACAAAAATTAGCAGGGCATGGAGACACGTGCCTGTAGTCCCAGATTCTCAGGAGGCTGAGGCAGGAGAATTGCCTGAACCCAGGAGGCAGAGGTTGCAGTGAGCTGAGACTGTGCCACTGCACTCCGGCCTGGGCAACAAGAGCAAAACTCAGTCTCAATAAATAAATAAAAATTTAACAAAGACACCGTTAACTCTAAAATATTACCTAGGAATTTTGTAGACTTCCAAATGGTATGCACAGCTCATGAGCATAAGGGTTCATCGATTTCCGAACCCTTCCATGTTCTGAAGGGTCAACTTGCTCACAGCGTTACTGAGATCACCTATTTTATAACACTGCTCCTACGTGACAATGTCTAGAGTGAGAATGCCTGAGTGGCCGATACCGAAGCCATCGTCAGCTTCCTCTGTGTGTGCAGGGATGCTGTGGTCAACCCCATGGCTGTGTGACAGAAGCCACACCGGGCTAGGCACCCCTCACCCAGCATGCACCCCCCCAGGCCCGGCTGGTACTCACAGCTGGAGAAAATCAGCGGGCAGGAATGCTCGTCCATGGGGAAGTTGTGCAGCTGCAGCTGGCACTCGGCGTTGATGGTGAGCCTGCGGAAGAGCCAGGCGTCAGTCCAGGTCAGCACCCAGTGCAGGGCAAGGCTGCCAGGGCACCCGTGTGGGGATAGGGAGGGCCGCTCCGTCACCCAGGCCAGCACGCGAGGCTCTCTCCCGGCCAGGGTACCATTCACGGTGGGGCTGTGCCATGTTGCTTTCACGCTGGGTTATTTTGTGTTGCTCTTAACTATCAGTGGCACAGAGAATTCCAGTGAGTAAAATTCCAACTGTGGCTAGAAATACATGCCAAGTCGGACAGGAGATAAAACCCACTGTTGTTTTATAAGTTGTTGTTTTCAATCTGTTGGAATTAAACCCTTCCTCCATTTGGAAACTGGTGTATTTATCTAAACAGCTATTTTGCCAAATTAATCCACGTATGGGGGGATTTCCTGTTTGGGCAACTGCCCCCTATTTCACCAGGCAGGTGGGAACCCCACATCCTCACAGGGCCGCAGCAGCCCCAAGCTTCAGCGTCCATGTGGGGCCCCAGGACTGGCCGTGCCTTCGCCCTGGCTCGCTGAGGCTCCGTGTCATGTCACAGGCTCCTGTGCACGGCGTTACCACTGACAAGGAGCAGCTTCGACAGACTCCAGCCCAGCGTACGTCGTCAGCACATGGCCCAGCTGCGGCTTTTGTGCCGTCATTGCTCCCTGGCTGGCAAAATGAGGATTTCCCTGAAATGTGTACGCTCTCTCACCATCTGCATATTTTAATGTCCATCTGTGCCTGTGCATGTGCTGTGTACACGTGAGGAACCAGGCTTCTCCTCAGGGGAATTCTCAGTATGTGCACTGCTCTCACTCCTGGGATGGATACGCTAAGCCAGCAGGAATGGGTAAGGAGGGGAAAGGGACAGGTCAAGTCCTCGGGCAGAAAGGGCAGAGTGGGGAGACAGAGCCGCAGAGCAGGTGGGAGAGGGAGCCCTGTGTCCTGGGGCAGAGAGAGAGAGCCCGTGAGGTGCACCCAGGGCCCTGAGCCATCAGGAAGAGCGGGGTGCAGTGCCTTCTGGGGCAGTGCCACCACTTTGAGGACCCTGCTGAAGAAGTTGTCCAGTCTCTGTGCTGTGGGCTGTGTGCTCAGTTAGACTCAGCATCGCAGCTGAGAGACCGGGATGTGCAGACTCTAACTGAACACACAGCACTGGCACCTATTTTATAACACGGCTCCTACGTGACATGTCTAGGCTAGAAACACCTGGGGTGGGGGATGAAAACCGAAGCCATCGTCAGCTTTCTGTGTGTGCAGGGACGCTGTGATCAGTCACACGGCTGTTAGACAGAGCAGCACCAGGTGAGGCATTCCTCCCCCAGCACGCACCCCCACCACAGGCCAGGAAGCTGTTTCTGTTACTGCTCTGGGTTTCTTCGAAGACCCCCTGCCTCTGGGAGGACCCACTCCAGGAGGACCCACTCCAGGGGAGCTGCCACTTCCCTCAGGGACGTGCTGGGAGGAACCTACTCTGCCCTCTTCCTTGCGGTCTCAGTTCACTCTGACCACATTTGTTGATGAGTGCACCAAGACATCGGTATTTTCCTAGGAGAGAGGGACCATCTATTTTCCTAGGTGAGAGGTGCACCTCTATTAAGAATAACTTTCACATCCTACTTCCAGCAGCAACGGACTCCAAAGGAATGAGTGTGTATTCTCTGTGGGTCATCTGTATGCCTCTATTTTTACACACATGGCATGAGGGCACACTTTCTCAGGGTGCCATAGTCCGTCATGCATGTAAAAGAACAGACTTAGAGGTGAAAACAGAGCCTCGTTTCTGCAACGATTCACATTAAGGATCCAGATTTAAACCAGGAGCGATCAAAGATCGACACGCAATCTTACCTCAAAGTGTAAAGGATTTTCCCGTCGTTCCAGATCCGGAGGAGCTGGTTGGGTGTGGTGATCCAGTGGGCCTCTGCGGTCTTAGAATTGCGGAAGATGGTGTCTGGGAGCCAGATCAGCCCCACCATGTTGCTGTTCAGAGTTAGAATTTTCATTGTGCTGTTGAATCGAAGGCGACTATCTGTCCAGGTCTGAGCAAAAAATATGTCGATTTGGTATTCCTGAAACAGAGCAGAAGGAGAGACATGGCAGCTCTGTTAGCGACTGTTCTGTATAAGTTGTGCTCTTTGTGAAACGTTGTGTGTTCTCTCCATGTTGATGTTCTCGCCTCCCCAGTTCCCTTTCTGATAGAGGCCGGTTCCAAATGGCAAACACTGAGTGAATGATGAGTTATTATTCATCAGCATTGTAGTAACATTGCGTGACATAACGTAAATCTGAAGCTGCAATAAGTATATGAAGTGTGGAAGACGGGTAAGAGCGACAGTAGAGTCAATTTCAGCATGTGGAGGCCAACCCTATGCTCGCAAGTGCAAGCCTTGACAGGTGGCAGGCCTACTGCAGCCTCCATTCTCTGATCTGTAAAATGAGGAAAACAGTAGTGTCCACTTCCTAAAGGTGATGGAAAGATAAAAGGAAGTCATTAAATGAGCACCCTTAGCGCCAGGCATAGAGCAAGTGACCCGTGCACAAAACCAGGCTGCTGTATTTATAAGGAGACAACAGGTGTCCAGGCACCGGCATTGGAGGAACTACGGAACACACAGTGAGTCTCACACAAGTGTTTGCGCAGGAGGGGGAGCAAATGGCGGGAGAGCAGCAGCTGGGAGCAGGTTCTCAGGGTGCTTTCCCAGGAGCCTCTCGAGGCTGCATGAGTGGCATCTCAGCAACCAGACAGTCCCTCCCAAGTCCATGTGCCTGCCTGTGCTGGAAGGAAGGTCATGGCATAACCTGCTTATCTGGTGTTAAAAAAAAAAAAAAAAAGCTTATAAAATGCCATGCTCCGTACTCAAGGAAAGAACACCTCTCAAAAGCACAAGAATGCAAGCAGATGTGCTGGCTCCTATCTACAACCCCTCTAACTTCTTTATAATTAAATCTAAAATAAAATTGTCCTATATGCCTCAAAAGAAATGCCAAAGCACCCTGGTGATAAATCACCCGCTTGACGTACCATTCCCTTATCTCCCCCGTGCCCTGACACATTCTTGCTCCGTGTTGCACACCAGTAAACGGTGTGGGTCTCCAGAGCTCGGGGCCTTGGCCCCTGGTCCCCACTGTATGAACTCTTGTCTTTTCCCATTTCTGTCTCCGCCATCCCTTACAACCCCCATGGTCTGTGTCAGGGCTGGTCCCCAACAGCCTGAATGCGCCCTTGGGGATGAATGGCCTCAGCCTCATTCCCGCCTTCCAAAACGTGGGCATGTGCCCATCACTGACAGACTCTGGACCCACAACCGCACAGTGAAGGTGCGTGTGTGTGTATGTGCACGTGTGTGATCCCGTCATAGGAAATGAAACCAAAGCAGGCAGCATGGATGCTTAGAGCCCAGGAATGTGGGACTGGAGGCCAGACGCCTGGTGTCAGGCATGGGCGGTGGGACCCGTCTGAGGAGCGGGCAGCTCTCTGGGCAGAGATTGGAAAAGGAATGGTAATTAGCATGCATTGGCTGCCATTCTCTGTGCTCGCTAAGTCATGACAGGAAGGAAATCATCTCCACAAAGAACGCGGTGGTTTGAAAGCTGGTGTAAAAGAGGACAGACAGATAAAGCACACTTGGGGTCTGGCGGGGCTGGGAGGATGTAGCCCCTCATCCTCATCTCGACAGTACACCCTGGGGTGCTGGTAGTTTCAAAGCCTACCGAAAGAGCATGGCACAATAATCACACCCATTGCTGAAGCCTCTCAATGGACTCGTTTGCCACCCAGTAAGGTCCTTAAATATGGCTCAGGGAAAAAAGACTGAGGTGTGGCCCTGCCACTGAAGGCTGTCAGGGCCCAGTGGCCTACACTTCAGAGATAAAGGGTCAGAAAAAAGCCGGGGAGAGGGAGAGGGGCTGGCCCGCAGAAGCAAAGATGCACAGCAGCTCTTGGCTTGCACCGAGAAAAGAACTCAGTTTCCTCATGCACACAATGCGAGCGTCCGATTGGATTAAATGTAGGGACCCTGCTGACTCAGATAAAATTTTACACGTCCACATCCCTGCCCAGAGTTACCCCTTCCCTCTTGAAACTAATTTTCCATTTTTTTTTTCTTGTGTCTGTATCTCACTTCTGCAAGAAAAACATGATGGGGTGACTTCATTCTGTGTCCTATCTTCTTTTACTGGAAAGGCTTTCCCAGGTCTGAATTCTGCATGAAGAGTTCGAGACCCATCCATGAGGTGGAGACTTGCAGAGCAAGGCGGGAATCCCCACCCCCACCCCCCACCGACCATGCTCTTGTTCTGCAGCAGAGGGGAGCACCCTACGGTGTCCAGGGTGCATGCTCTTCTTCGTTCTGAAATCTTGCCATGAATGCCACTTGAAGACGGCGTAAGGCTGTGCAGCGTGTGGATGTTTTATTGTGTCTACGTTTGACTAAATGTTGAAGAAACACTTCCCACCCACAGAGAAATATTTTTACTGCTCTCATAAACTTTCTTTGTAATGGCATTAATCATCCTTCCTTTTTGCAAAGAAAAAAACATGCCAACAATGTCTATCTGAAAATATTGTCTATAATTCATTAATACTATGAAATGAACGTGTCTGAAATACTCAGATAGAGCTCGTGGGGACCCTCCACTGAGAAGCACCATGCTGGTGTACAGTCCACGTTCATGATTTGTTTTAGTTCCTGCAGAGCTTAATAATTTCTAAATAAGCCATGAATTGCTGTGACATGTGAAACACTTTGACAAAACAGAAGAGAAGTTAGACTTCTTCACGGTATCCATCTGTAAGTTCTAGAAAATGTGGACATTATTTCTGCACACTTCCCCCTTCCCTTATTAAAGGGGAAGGCCAAGTGAAAAACCGAGATGAGTGCAGGTCAGGAACTTCGAGAATCTGGTTTCAGGAGACGCTGGGGACAGAGACTTGTTCCCCTCCAGGCCTCAGCTCTTTAGCTTGAGTTAGATAAACAAGCAGGAACAGAAGCCACTGGCTGTTTTCTTTATAAAATGGTAGTAATAGGCCCTTGCCAATTAAAGGTTGTTCTGATTTCTTATTTAACAACGTCTAATGCAACGACTACAGTAAAACTATTTTTATTTATCCTTTCTCAGGTATGGAAGCATAACTCAAATATATATTTTTCATTTCTTACATGTGTTATTTATTGGGATTTGTCCTGGGAAATATGGCTTTGACGGTTGGCCTCCCTCTCTCCCTGGGGCCTGTCTCGCCTTCACAGGCACAGGGGTTCCCCGAGGTCTGACCACCTGGTTGCACATTCTCAACGCTTGTAAATATCATGAGCAATGTAAGACCACACGAACACACAGCTACGACCTTCTCAGGACCTGGGAGGCGGCTTCTGCTAGTGAGGGGCCCTCGGGCTTCACCTTCACAGGCTCCATGGTAAAACTGTCTCTAGGTAGGAGGCCCTGGGGACTGCATGCTGCTAGCAGATCTGGGCCAGGAACCGACCCCAATGGTGGAAGCAGGTGCCCCTTGTGCGTCGCTGTAGACATCTTGCGTTTCTCAGTGTCCTTTCCTGCGTAGCTCTCCCTCTGCTCTCCTCTACCCACTGACTCCTTTCAGATCCGCAGCCTACTGGATGCTCTATTCTCCAACAACTGCTCCTACTCAAAAATGTATCATGGTCTGGCCAGACCCTGTAGAATTTCAGTTAACACTCTTTGCGTATTAACAAGCGTGATACTCAGGGCTCCGTGTACTGCGCTTGCTCACCGACCAACCCGTTACTGTAGCACACTGTCCCGGCACGGCCCTCCCCGCTCCCTGTCCTGTCTGTGCTTTGCCCGTGCCTGGACGACCTCTTACCCAGCCCCGTCCAGTCCTCTCTGTCCTCCTGGGTCCCATCTTCCCATGGCATTGGCACATTTGCTGACAGGCTGGTATTACTCATTACTTTTTCCCCTTATGTTAACACGCTATGTCTTCCACTGCTGTATCACAATTATCTGCATGCTCCACATGGGGACCGCCCTGCCACAGTGCTGATCAGCAGTGACCTGTGTTGCTAACTTACACTTACTGCAAATTACTAGCAGTCAGTCCCCACTCCAAATAACTGACATATCCCCACTCTACCCAAGGTTCACAACAATACAAATATCCCTGTTCTACAGGTGGGAACTAAGAAGAGTCAGCCATCCGCTCATCAAGAGAGCAGTGGCCAAGGGTAACTGAAGCCCAGGTGAGTTTGGACATTTGGATTTTTCCCCCTGGCTTCATGGAGTATAACTGACAAATAAAAATTCTCTATGTTCAAGAAGTGATGATTTGACATCCGTGTACGTTGTGAAACCGTTACCACAACCAAGCTGACTTGCACACCCATCACCTCACAGTTCCCTTTTCTTTCTTTTTTTTTTGGTGGTGAGAATATTCATGATCTACTCTCTTGCCCAATTACAAGCATACAATATTATACAGTACAGTATTATCCAGAGGCTCCCTGCTGTATGTGAGGTCTGCAGACCCTAGTCCTAAGTATGGGCCACAGACTGACAGCTCATTTCCTCTGTTCCCAGGTCCTGACAACAGCACTTCTGAGCTCCATCAGCAATAGTGACAGGCTCACCCTGGACCCTCAGACCCTCAGAGAGGAGGAGAGAGGTGGGAGGCGGAGCTCTGCCCTTTAGTACTAGCCCTCGTTCCTGGAACTGCCCGTCAAGGACCCACAGCAAGAAACAGTGTGAGGAGGACATATTGCAAACATCTGAACTACCTCGGGGTGTGTGTGTGGGGAACAGCAGTAAATGCACTGAAACTGAAACGAAACCTGACTTGAAGATCTGTAGCACTTCCTGGGCACCATGGGCACCAGGGATGGGCTGGAATTTCTAACCATATCAGAAGCAGATGTTTTAGCTGCTGGGATCCAGGTCTCTTCTCAGCAATTCACAGCATCACACGGTATCGCAAGGTAGCTACCAGAAGGAGGCAGCACTCAGTTTCCCCTGCCTTCCTGGCAGGGTGCAAGTCCCATTGGAGGGGACCCTCAGTATTAATGATGAGAATTACTGATGAGGGTAAAAAAGTAATCTC